TTTAACAAAATCCATTTATGAAATGATCTGTATACCGCTTGATTACATGACAAGTGTCTCTCTTGATTCGTGGAGACAAGAAACGATGAAGAGAACGAGATTATTGTTATCATTAGATGTTGCAATATATGTTATGTTAATATAATTAAATACAGACTTCGATAAAGTATAAGTAAATATAGTATAAAATTGCAACTATGTTTCGTATTTTGAAAAATCATGCAACAATCCTACTTGCCAAGTAAAATCATTAAAAATTACTTTTTACAGTAACATTTTAATATTTCGTATCAATATTAAATCAATATTAAATTTTATCAATATTAAAAATATATTATATAATTAAATAATTTAATACACAGATTATTTAGAATATTAAAGTATACTAAATAAATTAACTCGATTATACTTAACAGAATTTCGTAAATTATTTAGATAATTGATTACATATATGTTTCCATCATATTTTTTTATCAATATATCAATAATATAATCAATATATCAATAATATAAAAAAAATTATATATGTAATATAATTTAAATTAATATAAATTGTATTTTTGATTAATTAATTTTAAATAATTTTATTATAATTTAAAATTATATTATAAAATTATATATTAAAATTTAATATATATTAAAAATAAAATTTTTAATCTCTTTTTTATTATTTTTTTTTATTTTGTGTAAGAATCAAAAAAATATTTAATTTATTTAAAAATTTTAATTTATTAATCATTTTCAAAACTTTTTCGAAATTCAAAATTTAATTTGCTAATTTTCTAAAAATTTTTTCAATTATTTTTAATTTTTCCAAGAAAAATAAATATCAAATATGTGATTACTTTCAGATATTTATTTATTCAGGATTTCATAAAAAATATTTATCCTAAAAAATATTTATTCATAATTAATTAATTTAACAATCTTTTATAATTAATTAATTAAATTTATTACATATTTTGAAATCACATATATTTTAAATTAATGCTAGAATTATCAAATTTTTAATTTTTGCATTTGTTAAATATATAGAAGTATTTTTTATATTTTATATTTTTATTTTTTATATTTTTTATATTATATATTATTATAATTATAATTTTTATACAAAATTATTATTGTTTCATACTAATAACTAATAACTAATAGAAATAATTATTTTATAATTTTTCATATTATTTTAATTTTAACTTATAAAATTTAAGAATATATTATAAATATTTTCTTTAAAAACGATGAAAGTATTTTTTACAAAATTAATATTAATTTATATATAAAAATATAATTGTTTTATAATTGTTTATAATTATTTTATGATATCATTTTAATTCTAATTTAAATAAAATATATTTAGAAATATATTATAATCATAAAATTAAAAAAAAATAGAACATACTAGTATCCCTCAAGAGTTTAGCTCTCAATTAATACCGTTGTGAGTCGTAGATGACTTACAAGCTGGATGAACACTAGATTCAGCAAGTCCTTCAAAATAACGGGTTTTACCGGGTTTTTTGTTTTGCATTTACTAAAAACATGTAGCTATGCATTCAAACTATCTTCTACGCTCAAGAAAATTAATACTGACTATTATTAAGATAAAAACATAATTACATGTATCTATTAATTTTTATCATGACATTTTAATGGTAATCATTTACATATATACAATGTATTTAGTTATACATAAAACGTTTATGTTTTAGTATCAAATTACTTTATTTTGTGATTTTAGATTTATGTGATAAAGATTATTAATTTATTAAGTAAAATATAAATTATATATATAAAATTAAATATAAAATTAACTAATCTAAATCAAATTTAATCAACCGAACTATATACATTATACTTGTGATTATCTCTGACTCAATATCAACTAAGAATTAAATTTTGATAACACAAGTTTAATACACAAGTTTTAATAGATATTATACAAATAAAATATATGAAATAAAATATTAATTCTTATATCATAATATATATATCGAAAGAAACATTTTTAATGATAAAGATTCTTTCTGATTTTTATAATTTTTCTATTTTGTTTTTAAATTTTAATAGCATAATAAAAATAAAAATTAAAAACAAAAACAAAAATAATAGTTTCAAATTTTATATAATTATAACATTACGTAAAATTTTTTGTTTTCTNTATATATATATATATATATATATCTTACAATATACAATATATATTTTATAATAAATTTTTAGTCACAATTTAACATAATACGAATAAAAATATATTTTATCAAAATTGAAAATTCCTAAATTAAAAAATTCATGATATTTGAAAAATATTTATTCATAAATTTATTTATAAATTTGTTCATATAAAAATTAACAAGATGATTAAGACATTTATTAATGAAACTAAATTTTGGCAAAAGTAAAATTTAAAATAAGAATATTTCTAAATTATCTTTTAAATTTTATTAGAATTTTACTATTTATTCATAAAAAAATAAAATTTTAATGATTTAATTATTCTATACTTTATAATCGTTATATAGATTTTACAGCACAAATTGTTCATTAAATTATTAATTAATAATATTTAATTCAAATTCATAAAGTTGAATGAATTATCGTTAATTAATCATTAATAATAATTTAATTAATAATTTATGATGATACATTCATAACCGGCTGTAGAACGTCTTTGAATAGTTAAAATCAGTTTCGTGTCAAGCTGAATTTTCTCTACGATAGAGTGAAATCAGCAATGACTGTACGAACAAGGCAGCGTTCGCCGAGTATGACTCACGATTTCAAAGCCTTTTTCAATAATAATATCAACCACTAAACTAAAGCAATTTAATATGACCACATGAAACAATCGTTTGAAGAAATTGATAAAAAAAATAATATGATAAAAAACAATATATTTTTCTATTAAAAAAAAATAAAAAAAAAGCTATATTTTGTATCGTATATTTAAAAAACATGATTAATGAATTAATATTAATTAATAATATAATCATTATTTATTTAATTAATAAATAATTTTTAATATTTTTTTACTTATTGTTTTCATATCTTAAATGATTAATTAAAAATTTTTTAATATTGTTTTTTTTTTAATATTTGTCAAATAAAAATAAACGTTTTTATGTTTTTTATATTTTTATTAATTAAAAATAAATTAAAATAACATAAATTTCATTATAATGATATAATCATTCATATGACCTTATTACCTTCATTTACAAATTTAAATATGTGAAAGTCACAAGGTTGCAATTTATTATGTTTTTAAATTTTAACTCTCAGCATCAACAATTTGATCTTAAATTGCCAATAAAGATATAAAATGGAGAATGGATAGAAGATAAAAAATAAAATGGAAATTCGTAAATTTTCAATGGAATTCTTTTTACACATATAAAAAATAATTTAGAAAATTTAAATTGCATATTTGTAATATTTAAATGCAATATTATAACATTTCTATTTCATGCTTAGTTTAGCCTACTTTAATAACTTTCTATTGAGCATTGTGACTTTACAATTTATTTGACATTAAAGATATCTAAATAGTGTAAAAATCATTTCTAAAATCACAATAAAAAATAATAAAAAGAAGTAAAATCTTACAAAATTAATATAAAACTTTTCTATTTTGTAATATAAAATTGCAATAAAAATATTACAAAACCATTATTCATTATATTATACCAACAATTGTACTACTAGTAGTAAGTAATTTAACTAACTTCTTGTTGATTGAAAACTTTAATTTTGCTAATTTCCCACAAGAAAAAGAAAACAATTTTCTCATAAAACAATTTCACATAATATATTAGTAAATTATATAAATTATATAAATTATATATCAGAAAATTAAAAAATAAAATTATATTACATTTCTTATTGTTAAATTCATGTATAAAAATCAAAGTAACATGATTGGCCATATCTAAATTAATTTATCAAACCTACGAAATAATGAAATACTTTTATGATTTAATTCGATGATGGAAACGCAAAAGCACAGAAGTAACAAAAGCTTCACAAAATACATAGAACTTATCTTCATCAAATAAATAAAATTTTAATAAAATGATGTTTCTATCGTGATTGTAAAACTTTCCCTAGTAGTGGCGATTGTTCTTTACGGAGGGCGTAAGTCATGGACACGAGTCATTGTGGAACTTCCGTTTATAAAAAAAAAACTATATGCAAAACACGTAACTGACAATAATTGACTATCGACTATATCTAGTTTCACAGTCAATAAATCTTCAAGATTGTAAAATTTACTTTTTTCATCCCGTATAATCACATTCTTTTTTTTAAATAGAAATGATTTCACGAGACAAATTGTGTATACATATTTTTGAAATATGAGAAGATAAATAATATAACATTGATTAAATTTGATTTTTTTAATTTTAATTCAATGTAATTGATAATAAATATACTTTATAGAAAATATTACAGAATGTTCTTTTTGCACGTAAACGATGGATACATAATAGCGACGATTAGAAATTTTGCCGAATGCCGATCGTCACTTGCCGACGGCTAGAAATGCGGATAACTTTTAATCGTGACTCTAACTTAAAATTCGACAAGAAGATCATTGCGTTCTTATCGAATATGTTTTCACACGCGCACTACACGTACCATAGAAATACACATGTACACAAACACGTTACTATAAAGATTCACAATAAAACACAATATGCACATAACAAACAATCTTGGTAGCTGTGAGATGTTGCCTACGAGCAACAACAGCAGCATGACATGCTTACTAGTGGCTTCCTTCGACCGACGATCGGTCAAAACAAATTCAAACCACGATGAAAAATTGGATAGTATGAATGATTAGGAGAGAATAATCTCAACGAGGATTTGGATGAACAAATCATCGTATAGAATAAAGATTCAGGAAAAGAGAAAGATAGATAGTAAGTGATAGAGAGAGATAGAGAAAGGAAGGAAGAGGAGCTGGAGGCATGAAGAGCTCTCATAGCAAGTACACTTACCTCTTGGTGGCATCGAGCAATGCGCCCTGGAAGCACTTGGCACCGTGAACGAAGGACACGACGATGATGTCCGGTAGCGCGGACTCGACGGTCACGAGGATCTTGTCGCCCCTGGCGAGCGTGAGCGCGGACAGGGCCACCGTGTCCGCCGCCATCTTGGCTCGTTAGAATTATTGCTCCTCGCCGTGTCGAGACCCGTCGTCTCTCTCTCAGCGGATGACGTGAGGAGCGGCTGGGGCTGCCTCACTCTCCTCCGTATGTACGGAGGCCATGGGCTCTGCGAGGCATGCTTGGGGTGGGGGAGACAGAAGGGCAGTCTCGGCCTGCTTGCTTGCTCGCTTGCTCGCTTGTTCGCTCGCTTGCTTTCCTAGCAGTCACCACCGCCAACCGCACCGCATTTCACGTTTGTGCACAGCTGGGCATTTGTGTCGTACTGCGCATGCGTTTCGCGCTCCCACTCCACTCCTAAAGGTCCGTAACTTGACACTATTGGCCCTGAAATTTATATAAAATTAAATATATTTTTTAAATTTATTTTTAATTAAAAAAAATTAATAAATATTCTTAATAATTTAAAAGAAAGATGAATTATAATATCATATTTGAATAAATATTGATTTGTAATGTATTATTATTGTATATTTTGTATTTATTATTGAGAAAAGAAGAGAATTTGAAGAGTATTGAAAATTTAAAAATATATTACTATAATATAGTTAATATATAAATTAATATGTAATTTTTTATTTTTCTTATTTTCATAACTTTTTAAAGAAATCATCCGAATAGATATTAATAAAATAAAATATACAAATTAATATTTTTATAATCATTGTGATATAATTCCTCAAAATATTAAAAAATGAATTTGAAAAAATAGATATAACTGATATATTGCCATACAACACTATATTATTTTACTTCAGGATAGTAAAAACTGTTCACAATACCCTTCTTTTTTGATAAGCAAACCCCATAAATGATAGTGTATATTACTAAAATCTTCTTTCTTGAAATTAAATCTATTGTTTTTCCATTGAAATGCACATCTTCTTATGATTTATTCATTCTATAAAATCTGAATTAGCTAATTTTGAATAAAATTTGTTTTTATACATTGAATACCCGGTCTAGATACATCACTATTATACATATACTTTTCGTAAGCATTCTTTCTCCATGAGATATAGAGGGGACAACTTGGAAGAATAAACTTACTCTCTATAAAATATTTTATGTTTAAGAACTAATTATGCATATTGATTGGAATAAATTTAATAAGATTAATTATTTTGCATAAAAATATGTATAAATAGGAATAGTTAGCATATAAATGATAAATAAAAAAATTTTTTAGACATTTTAATGGAAATATTATATAATTATTAAATTTTAATTGTTATTCTTTTTTAAAATTTCTAATAAGTGGAATAAAATTATTAAACTTAATCTATGATCTAAGTATAATCTTTTTTTCTCATAATTTTAAAAATCCATAGTTTTTGATAAATAATTGTGATATTTTTATGACGATGAACATATCATGATAAATAAGATAAAAAAATAAAAATAAAATATGAATTTTTTATTAATAATAAATTATCACATAGAGATAATTGTAATAACAATTATTTTACGAAAATGATTATCGCTAATAACATTCATTGAATCTAACATTATTTTAATTGCAGAAAATAATATTTTATAGATTAGTTTATGGAGTTAGTTTATAGTTTTAATAGAGATAATATCAAAAAACATTTATATTGAAATATTATTTATAATATTATGGATGAAAAAATTAGTGCAATACATAATAATTTTGTATTATATTGTAAAATAATAATAATAATAATAAAAAGAGAATCAAATATAATTTGTACTTTTTATATTATATGCTATAATTTAATAATAAAATATAAAAAAATGTAATAAATAATTAAAATATTAATTTATGAATTCTTTTATAAAATAAATTTTTTAAAATTTAATCAAGACAAAAAAAATAAATATAGAAATATTAAATTGATGAATTCACTATTGTTCTGATTCATTGTTAAAATTATTATTTTTGAATTATTACATTTATTAAATCCATTAATTGCAAAATTTATAAGGAAAATAAATAAAATAGATATTGGTAGAAATGAGTAACAATTTAAACGCGAAGATGAATATCCGAAATTATATCATGAATATTACGAAACAATAATTCATGACAATTTTAGCTATAATATGACGCCTAACAAATGAGGTCGAGTTCTACTTTTCCCGAGCACGGAAGTATATAGCTTAGTCGGCCTAGTGCACTAAGTTTTTATGCGCTAACTATGTTGCAATGACCACAAAAACGACAAAAGACGGTCTTATAATACAATAAAAGAAGATAAATCAAGAAAGGAAAAAGAAAGAAAAAAAGAGAAAAAGAAACGACGAGCGCTAATAATTCGTCGATAAAGAAAATCACGCTATGAACATTACAGGAATTCGACAAGAGCGCCCGTGAACTTGATTTTGTTCACTGACCTCTGTAACTTATTAAGCGTTATGTTTAAACTTTCTCTGATCAATCCGTCTCGTAAATTTAACAAATTGATTTAAAACCGATATATAAAATCAAAATGAAAGGAAATTAAAAACGAAAAGTATCATCAGAAACGAATTGCAATCTTTAAGGACAAGATCAAAAGCTCCATAATATAGTTTAGTGAATTTTATGTGCATCAATAATTAATATTTTATTGATGCTATATAATAAACAATACAAATCGTGGCGTAATAGATAGAAGTCTATTCGAGCGAACCACGTCTTCGATATTAGTTCTGTACTACTGTCAATATTATTGCGCAACTCAGAATATTGCGCGTTCCATATTGAACGTTTAGGGTGTTCTTCAAACTGATATGAAATTGGGAAGTGTTACCACCATGATCCATTCTTAAGAGAACAAGGACTATTGTTCTTATTGAAGAAAGGAAGTTTGTAATTTCGAAATGCAACTCTTTGATGTTTGAGATAAATTTTTAAATATCATAGTTGTAAATTTGTGTTAATTGAATATTCGTAGTCTAGCATTGTGTAAATGACATTATTTCAGGCAAAGTATTCTAGAAACCTTTTTCATATTTAGTAAATTCAAAAATTTAATTATATATATAATTATATGTACAATAATAATATATATAAAAAATATTTGCATATTTTATTATTTTGATATTTATGAAAATAAATAAATTTAATTATAAAAATTTGTAGTATTATTAAAAACAACAATGTATTATTAAAAACAACAATGTTAAATGTAAATATTAATATAAATATAACATTACAGCATTTACATCTATTGTATAAGAAATGCAAACTAAAAGTCAAATTATATTTGAAGTTAATTAAATAGAATTAAATAATTTAATTAAATAGAATTAATTAGATAATTAAAATAGATAAATTTTTAATTATTATGAATATGATAAATGTAAAAACATAAGAATATTATAAAAAAAATTAAAATTTTAAGTAATATATTCAAAAAAATTTTTACATTTATAATATGGATATGAATTCATATGCAAATTCGTAAAATTTATCTAAATACAAATTAACATTTTGGAAACATATCTGTTTTAGAATATGTTAAAAAGAATATATTATGCGATATAGAATAAAATAACTTTTAAATTATATAAAAAAAATGGTTATATTGACAAATATTATAATTCATATGTATGATCATTTTTCTTCTTGTTAGTGACAATGGAAATTAAATTGTATTAAATACATTATTATAGGTAGAACAATTCAAAAGTAAACTGCAATTTCATTATTTTTCGTACCATATTAATAATGGATAATGGATACATTAACATCCGATAATTTTATATCATTGTCTTCTTATATTTGATCTGATTGCAATATCTTATTTATTATTGTTAATTTAGAATTATTTATGGAATTATTGCTAAATAATTGTTTACAATATATTTATACTATTATTGAAGAAATTTAAAATAATTTAAATATGAATGATTTATATCAAAAATATGAAATTATCTATTTAATCATTTCATGTAATAGAATAAAAATTCTTTGCATTCTAAATTAACTATTAAAATCAACAATAAAATTAACAAAAGAAGAATTATTAAAAATTATCAATTTTGCCAATATTCAACGAAGATAGACAAATAATGATTCCATGAGAAAGAAAAGAATTTAAACAGAGCGCATATAACGATGATAATAATAATAATAAAGAAAGCAGCGCCTGGAAGGGAGAAACGCAGGGATGTATCAAAAGAGTTGGTAGATAGGTGTCGAGTAGGGTACCAATCAGCTGGCTTGCGCGGACAGTAGACAACAGAACAGAGTAGACTCTCCAGAAGTGACGCACGTTTTCACGGGTAAGCGGACAAAAAATTATGCCTATTATTTATAATACGTTACATGATATGTGGTCGTGCACGTGTAATTTGATATATTGCAACCGAAAGTGAAAATATATATGAAACATTCAACTGTTTTACAATGTTGTTTTTGAATGAAAATGTGCTTATATTTAATCAAAAAGTGGGTCATTCATCAACTATCAGTTTTTCCCATCATGGTCAATAATTGCCTAGAATTAAAAAATCTACAAAAATACGAGCACGCAAATGTCTTATTGTGACGTCATGCGAATAAATCACGATAAATGAAAGCCAGAATGTGCAAGACAAACAAGCGCCACCTCGCCCATAAAACTATAATCGATGTATTACATTGTACTCTCTTTAGGTTATGCGATATATCAGACAAATGCAGGGTCCGCGAAAATAATGATACGTATGTGTAAGATTAAACATCGAACTTTACCGACCGAAACTGGATTGTTTATGTGTTTCATAATAATATCGATTAATGGATCGAATTCGACATTGTCTTAATTTTGTATTATAATTCATCCTATGCCTTTTAAAGTTCATTTGAACATCGAACAACATGATATTCGATGTCACAGTATTAAATAATCGATATACACATTTTGGTCATTAAAAATGATTTTTCAAATATTTGATACGATATATCATTAAGATTCGAACTTTAACTTAATATTTTCAATTTTTTATTTTTTGCTTTTTTTTTGGAAATAAAACATTCATAGATAAAAATTACATATACAATTACATATACATATAAAATAATATTGTGATTTTTTTATATACTGTGTACATTGCAATTATTTATTTATAATATATATTAATAAATAAATATATTAATTTAATATATTAATTATATAGTTTTAATTTATTCGACATTTATAATATAATAACCTATTGAAAGTTATATAAAAAGTTATAAAATTACATACTGATCGTTATTCAATTATTTAAAATTGATATTAAATAAGTAA